ATGCAGCCAGAGGGAAACTGAGGCACAAAGGGCTCATCCCCACCTGCACTGAGTCGCCAACAGAAACTAGATGCAAGTGTCCTTATGACCCGAAAGGTGGCAAAGCCCCCCCATAAAAAAATAAGTCCTGGGGACTCCAGCAGGAGACCTTAACATGGCCACACGCAATTCAACACCCCGCCAGAGTGCCAGGCTCACAGATGCTCACACACGTGGCCGGTGCATACGTGCAAGGCGTGTGACTAAGACAGGCCCCTGCCCTCCAGGAGCACGGGTCCCTGGGGGCACACCTTGCCGGGTAGCCAGGACGCAGCTTCAGAAGCCTGGATGGGAAAGACCAGGAATGTGGTAACAGGGGTGTTGGCAAGAATCAGATAAGGCTGTGGTGAGATAAGGTGGCACTTGGCCATGGAAACACAGGGTGGCCCTCGAGGGAGGACGCAGGAGAAGAGGGTGGGCAGGGCCGACGGGCAGGGCTGGGGAGGCACTGGGACTCCTGAGGTCCTGAGCACCCGTGAATGGTTTTGAACTCAGTGTGATGTTTGTGCTGTTTGCACTTCACTTTGGGTTTTGTGGGTTTTTTCACTATCTAATTTAGTTATACATATTTTACATCATTGTTCATTTTTTTAAAGATTTATTTATTTATTTATGCAAGCACTGGGTACAGTCAGAAGCACGGGAGGGTGAGAGAATTCACCAGAGCCAGAGCGGGGAGCAGAGCAGGCAGAAGGACCGAAGTACACTGCTGAGGGGAGCGGCGGGCGGCAGGGGAGGTCTGCGCGCCATGTGGGACCCTCCTCTGGTGGCCGGGGATCGAACCAGCGCTGCAGAGGCTTCAGGCAGCTTCGCAACCCAACGCTCAACCACTGCGCCAGCAGGGGAGGCCCTCATTGTTCATTTTTTTTACAACGTTTGCTTTCTTTTCTCAGGTGTGGTCCCCATAGAATTCCCATCACCAGCTCATGGGCGCCATCACCATAGTCCCTTGTGCTCTTCCCGCCCTCGTTATGATCCCACTCCCTCCTCCTCCCCTGCGGAATGTCTCTGATTTATAGCTGCCTGTTTATTTTTGTTTTGTTGTGTTTTTTATTGGTTTTTTTTTCCTGATGCCTTATTTGGCTCCCCTATATTCCTCTTATAAGTGAAACCATCTGATATTTTTTTCTTTTTCCTTCTGGCTTATTTCACTGAGCATAACCTTTCTAGCTCCATCCATGTTGCTGTAAATGGCATTAGTTTATCTTTTTGATGGCTGAATAGTATTCCACTGTGTATGTAGACCACATCTTCATGCAGTCATCTGTTTTGGGGCATTTGGATTGTTTCCAAGTCTTACTTATTAAAACTAGTGCTGCAATAAACATAGGGGTGCAGGTTTCCTTTTGAATTAGTGTTTTTGTGTCCCTAGGAGTGGAATTGCTGGGTCATATGGTGGTGCGCTTCACTTTGGCCACTGCGTGGGTATCTGTGATTTGGCCCCCAGGCAGGGTGAAGGATGCTCCCGGGCTGGGCGTGGGCCACCTGCCCGCCCCTAGCCACACCCAGACCCATCTCAGTAGCAGCTCCCTGCAGGTGCTGGGCCTGCTCCGGCTCCTCTCCATGGCCCCACCCCCTGTGCCTCAAGCCTCCTCTCTCTCTTCCTCTCGTCTGTCTTTTCTCCCTCCCTCTGTCCGCTCTGGCTCTGCCTCTCAGCTCTCACTCTCCCTGCCCTCCTGTCTCCAATTCTGTCACTTCCCACTTTGCAGCCTCCCCAGGCCCCTCACCTCCTGCCAACTCCAGCCCGGAGCTCTGGGTAGTGTTTATTTCTGAGTTTTCTACTCACTGCGGCACACACACGATTCCCACCCAGCTCATAATGTAAATATGACTTTTCCAATATTCCTTATCAATTAAAGGAACAAATCCCTTTCTCTGGGCCTGCTCCTTGCTGCCCGAGAGACCTTCCCAGCCAAAAAGCACAAAAGGGCCTTTCACGCTGGTGCCAGATGGGCCGTCTCCCCAGGCTGTGGGTGGGTGGGAGGCCGCACGGACAGGGACAGCCAGGGCGCCACCCTTTGGGAGCCTCAGCAAGTGATGTCACCGGCTACCGACATCCAGGCCCTCACGGCAGCCACAGGGGATCCGAGGAAACGTGGGTGTCCCGACTTTGCTGTCCTTCCTTCCTTGAGGGACACGCCGGGCCCAGGCAGTTCCTCAGGCAGCTCCCCCTGCTCCCGCATTCCCAGCAGCCCCTCTCCAGCCCCAGCTGCCGGGCTCAGGATCCACCTTCAGCCAAGGCCAGCTCAGCCCAGGAGGGCAGCCTCCGGGCCCCAGACACTGCCCCCTTGCCAAAAACTGAATTTTCCGTTTTCCTTTTCGCAGAGGGGCTCGCAAGGAACTGCTGCTCTCTGACTAGGCCCACACAGTCCTGGTCACCTCAGCCTTTACCTCTGTCCCTCCTCATTTCTCCGCACCTTCCCCCTCCCCACCTCCTTGTCACTTGGTTCTGAAAACCTCACTCCAGGACACCTTCCCACAGGAGGCAAACCAAAGATCTCGGGGAGGAGGGGGGGGTGTCAGTCTTGCCTGGTGTTGGGCTCCTCCTGCCCACAGAGGCCGCGCTCCCCAGTCAGTGGCGGGGGCGGGCTCACCTGCAGATCTGGGGACACAGTGGGGTGCACAGGAAGCAGAGCTGGAGCTGCTCTGGGGCAGGACAAGCTGCCCCAGATGGGACAACTTACCCAGCAGCTCTGTGGGCCTCGGCAGCGTCTGCAGCACCTTGTCCCAGATTCTGTCCTGTACCAGGCACAAGCCACCGGGGAAGAAACCCTGAGGACACCAGGGCCCATGTTGCTGTCACAGCCGTGGCTCCGGCTGCCGGGAGCGCCCCGCAGGCTAACCACAGCCGTCTGGGCCCGGCTGCGGGACATGCCGTGTGCATTAGAGGCTCACATTAGTGCAAACTGCATTGGGCACGGTGGTTGCCCAAGTCTGGTTCCCATTCCTAGAACAAAATGCCCACCAGCATCCAGAATAAGACCAGGAGGCTAGACTGCTCAGGGTTAAAGACACGGGCCAGGGGGAGGGCAGAGATAAAACCTAACGCCCCTAAACTGTTAAGTCAGTTTGGTCTTGGAGTCTGAAATGGTTCAGGCTGCCGCTGGAGACAGCGTGCATGATTCCTGACAACAAATCAATTCTCACAGCTCAGTCCAGTGGGGGCAGGTGATGATGATGATGACCCTGAGTGAGAACTTCCTGTGATCTCCATGGCCTCTGCAGCCTGGGACTCAGGGGCCCGTCCCGGACCTGTCCCTGCCATTCCCTTCCAGCAACAGGAAAGCCAAGCCCACCCAGTCCTCCGACGATTGCTCTCAAGAAAGACGGAGGTTCCCCGCAGGCGCCTGGCTCCGTCTTCCCCAGGAGGTGGCCTGCTGGACAGCAGGCTCTGTCCTCAGCGTCTTGCCTCTTCCTGTCTTCCCTCCAGAGCAAGGTGCATCTGGAGACACTGTAGGCAGGGCAGGGGACACAGGTCGAAGATTGCAGTGGGCTCCCCTCCCCTGGACCCCCAGCTCTCAAATGGTGTGCAAGCCTCTGACCCCCACGTCCAATGCTCCACTCCACCAATACATCTCTTGGAGACCCATCCTGGAGAATTCTATACCCTCAGGTAGTGAAATAAGACACCGATCCGTTCAACAATAGGAGCCAATGTCACGGGCTCTCATCAGCCTTCAGGAAAGTGAAGCTCACAGAACAGGCCAAGTCTTGTAACGACCCCAAGTGGAAAAGATCAGCAGACCTTGGGAGCAGGTGGGCGCCTGTGTCAACCACTCGACAGATGTGCACAGGTTGATCTGCCCACACCAGGAATCAAGCCAGTGCTGGAAACAAACAAATGAAGTGAAAACTCTCACTTGTGGGTCCTTGTGGTATCAAAGCACAAAAGTCAATAAGACGAGGGCAGAGTTTTTCACTAAGGCCAAGGACGCAGTTGCTGCTTTGAGAAGTCTCTCGCTATTCCAGATGAGGTCAGTGACATAAAGGAGCCACTGCTTCACCCAGCCTGGCCTGGAGCTGCCACCTCACTGAAGATCAGGAGGCTGGAGTCTCTACCAGCAGGTAAAATGAAGGAGGCAGGATGGTGACCTGTGTCCAGGAGACTTGACCTGGTCCCACTGTGGCTCTGCTGTGTCACGGTGGCTGCTTGAGTGTGTGTCACGACCCACCTTGTGTTCAGGTGTGGGTGGCCACATGGAAATCAGAAGCCTCCATGAGCCCTCAGAAAGGCTAAAGCAGCATTGTCTATGCCGTGTTCAAAAACATGAGTTCTCAAGGATATTGATCCTTTGGAGAAAAAAGAATTCTGTGGTCAAACAAATCTGGAATATACAGGCTGTAACAGAATTGAATAGATTTCTTTCTCTTTTTTTAAAATTTATGCATACTAGAGCTGGAGTGTAGACCAGAGGTGTGGGGAGGTGGGGGTGGGGGTGAGAGGATTCACCAGAGACAGAACAGGAAGCAGAACAGGTGGATCCACTGAAATACACTGCTGAGGGAGCAGCGGGGGAGACAGGAGAGGTCTGCTGCGCCATGTGGGTAGCTCCCTGGCCAGGGAACTCAGGCCATCAGGTGACAGAGCTTAGACTTAACCCCTGGGCCACAAGAGAGGCCCTTAAATAGATTTCTTTATTGCAGGACCTCTCAGAGTTTTTAATATCCCTCTGTCCATTGGCAATACCACAAAAGGGAATAGAGTCTGAGGTGTCTCCCAAAATTGACCAGAAAACCCTCCCCCTGCCTCCTTTTATTCAGAGCATCTTGCGAAAATCAATATCCCAAACTTCTGTAAATGTTTCCTCAGAGACTAGATGTTATTACAGTCCTCAAAGCATCTCATCATCAAGAAACCTAAAAATTCACATGCCCGAGAGTGACATCAGCAAGATGGCAGAGGAGGAAGCTCACTTCCCCATGGAAACGTTCACTTCCCCATGGAAACGTTTAATAAACACTACAGCTGGGCTAAAATAACTTCAGAGGAGCCCTGGAGATCAACAATCTACAGAGACCAAGCAAATGCCCAATCAAGAAAAAGCACATCCCAATGGTAGGACATTCCATGGTGTGTTTGTCTGTCCTTCAGCTACTTCTGCCCTCCTCACACGGTGGGGTGCAGCCTCACCCACAGTCCCCTTCCTTAAAGCAGAGCCTGCAGAGTGACCTAACTTGTACCATCTGGGGTCTGCTGAGGGACAGTCTCAGAACCCAGATAATCAAAAGCAGGAAAACTTGGATGTCAGACTAGAGGAGCCATGGGAAGCAAGGGCAAGGCTCGTGTTGATTAGGAGGGAACTACAGGCCTGCAGGTAACTGAAGCAAGAGAATTCTAGCTGAGAAACACAATAAAACTGCTAAGTCCCAGAGAATAAAGAGGGGTGAGACACGTAAGAAAATTCAGGCATGGCAAATGTTGCCGTGTATATGGAGGAGTTGGAAGAATACACACAGGCCTATTGGAAACTATAGCCCAAAAACTTTTCTGAAGACTTTAAGCCTCCATGCCCCCAAGTTTCAGAAATTGCCCTGCTAATCAGTAAAGGTCTTACCCTCCAAACTGCAAAGAATGGGAGAGGTGGTTAATTTTTTTTAATACCCAATTTTAAACAAGAGGTACAAGGTATATAGACTCAGGAAAACATGCCAATTCAAAGAAAAAATAAATTTCTAGACAACATCCCCGAAGATGCACAGGATTCAGACTTACTAGACAAAGACTTTAAAATAACATCTTTTAAATGCTCAAAGAGGTAAAATAAAACGTGGACTGAGAACTAAAGGAAATTGGAAAAACAGTATATGAACAAAATTAGTCTATCCACTAAGGGGTAGAGATTATTATTATTTAAAGAAACACAAACAGAAATTCTGGGCTTGAAAAATACATCAAATGAGTTGAAAATTTCACAAATGAAGTTCAAGAGATTTGGAGAGAAGAAAATATAAGAAAGTGAACTTGAAGAGAAGCAATTTGAAATGACCACACCTGAGGGACAAGAGGAATGAGTAAAAGTAAAGAGAACTAGAGAGACTTATGGGATACCATTAAATTGATCAGTATATGCATTGCAAGTCTTATCAAGAAGAACAAGTAAGAAAGGGACATAGAAATTATTTGTAGAAATAATGTCTAAACAGCCCCAGTGTTACATGGAACAGCATACCCAAGATTCTCAACAAACTCCAAATTGGAAAAATCCACATGCCCATCTGTCCAAAAATCTGGGTTCTAAGGGAGTTTTCCCTAAGGAAAAGCAACCTTGAACTTGGTTAAAGAATTAGCTGCAAGCACTGATCACAGACCTTATAACTGTAAACAGCTGCAACAAACTATATATCCAGCAATAGAGCACTGGATAAGTAAATTATAGTATATCCACAGAAAGAACACGGGGCAGTCATAATGATGATGTCAGCAATGTTCAGACTTGAACATGAAAAGTGGAGTTTACGAAATACCATGTGCAACCTTGATTGTGTAGCACAGGTAGGGACATAAGCCTATATATGAAAGGGGATTTGGAAAGATAGCAGTGAAAAAATTCAGAGTAGATATTTTTCTGAATGAGTTATATTGAGGATATTTTTATTTCCCCTCCTTTTGCTTCTATACACACAATGGAATATTACTCAGCAATCAAAAAGATAAACTCATGCAATTTGCAGCAACATGGATGGAGCTGGAAGGGGTCATGCTCAGTGAAATGAGCTAGAAAGAAAAAGAAAAATACCGGATGGTCTCACTCATAGCAGGAATCTAGAAAACCTAAATAAGGGACCAGGGAAAAGACTAACTATAATAAAGTAAAAATCAAAATCAACAAACAACTATAAACCAGAGACACACTATTGCGGGGGAGAGAGGAGGGTCAAAACAAGGGGGGTTGGAATTGTATGGGGACTATAACAAAGATGAAAATGCACACACTGTGCAAAAATGAAAAATGATGTAAAAAATATATAAAATTAAAAAAATAAAATAAAAATGATTGTTTTTCTATTAAGAGAGAAAACAGATAATTTTAAAATTCATTACACACCTAGTAAGGGACAGAGTGGGATTTGAGCAAATATTGCTTTCCAGGACACCATGATGACCTTCTATCCCAGCAATCTGTCCTTGAGTACCTCTTCATTTAAAATGGACTCTCCCTAGGGGACACTCCCCACCACCATGCTCACCAAATACCTCTGCTCATAATTTCAAGTACTGTAACAGGTGTAGTGAGGATTCATAGGGCAATAAAACCTGAAGTCTTATCATTCAGTTGGCCTCTTATACTGAATTATCTAGACTTAGTTTTTGCTTATAGACACTAAACTGTAGCCACCATTTCTTTTTTTTTTAAGATTTATTTTATTTATTTATTATTTTATTTATTTTATTTATTAAATACAAGAGCTGGGGTGTAGACCAGAGCTGGGGAACATGGAGGGTGAGTGAGAGGATTCACCAGAGACAGAGTGGGAAGCAGAACAGGCAGATCTACCTAAATACACTATTGAAGGGAGCAGCGGGCCAGACAGGAGAGGTCTGCTGTGCTCTGTGGGTCAGATCCCTGGTCAGGGTTCGAACTCATGCTGCAGTGGCTGCTAATAGCTTCATAGGGCTGAAACTTAACCCCTTGCACCACCAGGGAGACCCCTGTGGCCACCATTTCACTTCCAAAGAAGCCACGCAGTGCCCTCTCAAGGCCTCTTCTGCTAATCTCAAGTGGTAAGAGCCAAGAATTGGGATGACCAAACACTTAAAGCTACACCTTCTCATTTCTGAGTTTGTTAAGTTGTCTTAGCAAATTTCCTCTTCAATTTACATAATGTCAGTTGGCATCACTTTTCCCCAAGGGGTTTTTAGATATCAAATATAAACAAGAAATACAAGTCCATCTCCTCACTTTTGCCAAAGCCTAAACAAAATCAAATAAAAAGGTAATAAAATAAAACGAATGATGGCTGCTGCCTTGTCTCTGCTATTGCACAATCTCAGGGTCTGACAGATATTAATTCACAACTCAGCCATGCACATGCCCCGACTACATGAAGCTACAGTCACTCCCTAGAGCTGCAGACTAAGATGTTTTCATCCCAAAGAATCTTCAGAATTCTTTTAACTGTGCAGTGTCTGCAAGAATGAGTATTCCACCAGGGAAGGGATTCAGATAGAAGTCAACTGATGGATGCTTCCACTTGGAATTTACACTTTTAAAAATAATACAAATCCTAGCACAAATCCAAAAATACTTTGCCACCAAGAATAGAAAACAGGATCATTGGAAAGTCAGGCATTCACAAAAGAGGTTATATCCTTGAACCCATTAACTTGGGGAGTGAACAAGATGTCCATTTTATGTCCTTTCCTGGCACAGACTCATTTAAGGGCTCTAGTAACAGAGCAGCGATGTTCTCAATTTGGAAACTCAATCTGGGAGCAGAGGGTGTTCCTCCCCAGCCCCTAGGAATTCCCGGGAAAGAGCTTGGCTATGGGAAGTGAGGATGAGCTGCAGACCCGTGGTGCTAGGACCATGGATCAGATGGGAGAGGGAGACTCATCTAGTTACACACACATAGTCACGCAGTCCAGCCAAGAAACTGACGCCTGGGTTCTAGGATGAAGATGCCAAAAGAGTGAGTCAAGTGAAAAGAGCCTCTGCTCCTGGGAATCTACCCAAAGGACACAAAAACACTAATTCAAAAGGAAACCTGCACCCCTGTGTTTATTGCAGCACTATTTATAGTAGCCAAGACATGGAACCTACTTACATGCCCCAAACAGATGAGAGGATCAAGAAGATGTGGTCTCTATACACAATGGAATACTACTCAGCCTTCAAAAAGACAAAGTCATGCCTTTTGTAGCAACATGGATGAAGCTGGAAGGGATCATGCTCAGTGAAGTAAGTCAGAAGGATAAAGGTAAATATCACATGGATTCACATATGCGGATTATAGAGAAACCAAACAAAAGGTCAAGAAAAGACAAAACGTGCAAGCTGACCACAGATCTGAGTCACATGGCAGGGGAGTGGGGGGGATCAAAACCGGAGGGAAGAGCATAAGGGACTGTGGAGATGGATCACGGGCAATGTGGGGGTGGAACTACAAGGACTACACCTGAGGGGAGAAATCAATCACTGTACAAAAGTGAACAATGATGTAACAGGATAAATAAATGCATTGGGCAGGGAATGAAAAGAGCCGATTCACTAAGAGTAAATGACTGAGAACACAAGCCAGACCTGCTCTGATAGGTGTGCAGAATGTGGGGGATGGGAAGGCGCTGCTCTGAAAGGGATGCGTGGCCTCAGAAAGTCCAACAGCCTACACTGGCAGTGAAGGAATGCAGCCGGACATCATGCGGTGGCTTCCACAGTGGCAGTGACCGCGAGACACTCAAAAGGACACAAGGAAGATGGTGGACTCCTGAGGTTGGTCTCAGCCCATGTTAGAAGACTTCTGGCAGCTCCCAGGATGAGCAGAATGAATGTCAGACTGAAGGCCCATCGAAGCAGGAGAAGCAGATTTCTACCCGGGAAGTGGGTGTCATATCTGGCCGTCTGGAAAGCAGGGGAGCTGGGTGCACACACACCTGTCCTCACTGCAAGATCAAAGTCTTGGGTGGATTCTGTTAATGCTTTCTCAACAGAAGAACAGAAGCCAAGTCAACTGGTTTCAGTGAAGGCCCTCCTGAGACACGCGGAGGGGCTCTTTTGTTTTGATGATGAGCGAGCTGTAGAAGCTCGGGTGGGAGACTGGGGAGGCTGGGAGGAAGAGGGGATCTCTGTGAAAAAGAACTTCATCACGCAGGGACGTAAAACCAGGACTCTCTTCCCCCAAACCCTTCCCTCTTCATCCCACGTGTGCTTGTTTCCCTTTGACAAGGCTAAATATAGAAACGATTGGGAGATAGGCAAGTTTTTCTTCCTTTATTACCTGCTTCCATGCCCCATCTCCCCCAAGCCCCTCTCAAATACACTTTCCAAGGAGTGTGATGACCTAAATCTCTCCTTTTTTAAAGATTTATTTATTTATGCATGCAAGAACTGGGGTACAAGCCAGAGGTGCGGGGGGTAAGAGGATTCACCAGAGACAGAGTGGGGAGTAGAACAGGCAGACTGACTGAAATTCACTGCTGAGGGGAGCAGCGGGTGAGACAGGAGAGGTCTGCTGCGCCATGTGGGTAGCTCCCTGGCCAGGGATCGAACTCGTGCTGCAGTGGCTACAGATAGCTTCATAGGGTGCATCTTAACCCCTTGCGCCACCAGGGAGGCCCAGATAACCTAAATCTTAACTGGAATTTGCATTTTAGTTGAAGAGTCTCACTCGTGTAAAACTATCCCAGACTCAGCGGAGTGGAATGTTTAATGGTAGGCCTGCCAAGCAGGGTGCACTTCATGGACTATCTAGAGCAGGGCCCTAAGAATCAACATTAGGCCCAGAGCCTAAGGATGAGGGACAAACCTTTTGTTCGAGAGTGTTGGTCTGCCCCGTTGTGGAAGGATGCACACTGGAACCAATGAGCTGTGTGTGAGCCTCATTTTCCTTATCCATAAGATGTGATAATGAACATGTGAGAGTTGACGGGAGACACGGTGCCCGCACATAGCCGTCATTACAAAGCACTGATCTCCTTCCCTTCACTCACTCCTACATTCCCACATTTCACTTTCTAATTCAAACTGTGTCCTAACAGAAGGACAAGAAATCTCAGAGTAGTTCTCCCCCTAGAGATATCACAATATGTATTTGTCAAGATTCTTCTGGCGGCAAGTGACAGCTACCCAAGTCAAACTGGCTTAAGCAAAGTAAGAATTGACCAGTTGAAATAACTGAATATTTTAGAGGTAGTACGGCTGGATGACTTCAGGCATGGCTGGATCAGGGACTCTCATGTTATTTATCTGCATTGACTTTGTCACACAAGGTCTCATGGCAGCTCCTTAAGCTAACAATCCCTGCATAAAAAGAAGGTTCCTTTTTCGAAACAGTTGTAGAAATCCTGGAACCAAAAACTGGTGGCCAGGGTAATGGGATACTTGAATTGTCTGGGCCTGAGCAGTGTGAGTGATCCTGGAGACAAAAGAACTAAATCATTGTGGAGGGGCTACACTCCTGAGAAATCAGAATTCTATTAACAGAGGAAGGGGGAACTGCTAATAAGCTTAAACAACTGAGGTACGCAGCCAGCCTTTTGAAAAGAAGGAAAAGGCAAGAAATGAGGGCAGCCCCAGCTTTCAGGCAAGGCCGAGGAGCACGCTCACTGTCTCCAATCACGACACAGACAGCGGAAGGACAGAACACAAGTCCCGAAAGAGCTTCATGTCCACCGACAGGAACTACTTTCTATTTCTAGGAAACTAAGACCTCAAGTTAAGAGGAGTAAATGTATAAGTCAAACCCATACCAAAGGAAGACAAGGAAAAAGAAAAGAGGAGGGAAGTAGCATTTGGTACCTGGGGTACCAGGTGTGGGCTGCCAGCCTTTCCTTTCAGGGAACTGCAAAATGTTACAGGTCGAAGAGATGGGTAGGTAGGTGGGTGGATGGATGGATGGATGGGTGGATGGATGCATGGATAGGACAGGTGGGTGGCTGGAGGGATGGATGGATAGATGTATGGATAGGCTAGGTGGGTGGTGGGAGGGGATGGATGGCTGGGTAGTTGGATGGATGGATGGATAGATGGTGGATGGATGTGTGGGTGGATGGGTAGGTGGGTGGGTGGGTAGATGGATGGGTGGAGGGATGGATGGGTGGGTGGATGGAAAGGAAGACAGAGAGGAGAGAGATATGCTCTAAAATATGAAAAAGAAATCAATAAAATTGAAATTAATAGGCATTAAATGCACATGTCTGGAAAACAACATTCTATCCCCTTCATTAAGGGCTAACTACTCTTTGTAAAACTCCATTCTGTTAGAAAACAGTTCATAGTGTAGCTATTTCTCCCTCTGCAGAAATTCTTCACTGGGCACCATGATTGCCAAGAAATCAGGGCCACCGTGACTGAAATGAGGCACCTCAGGACTCACAGTCAAATCATTGCAAAAGCGATCTGATTTTTAAAAATCTTTTCAAAGTGAAAGAGACCCGTAGGTGCATGAAAACACATGTGATGTAACTGAGGGCGGGGTCTCCAAAGGTCGGGGTGCCTTGGTGGCCAAGCAGCCCTGCACCTGGGACATGGCAGAGCCAGAGGGCAGGTGGGGGACTTCTACTCTGCACCAGCCCCCGGTTCCCTTCAGGTGCACTGAACTCTGCCCAGCTCCCCGCGCCTCTGTGGTTGAGCCCCCACTTAGCTTTTAAGTCTCTATCACAGCCACAGCCCCGGGGGCCAGACCCCTAATTGCCAGCTTCTTCTACGTGCCAGGAAAAAAAAACCCTCTCCAGGCCTCCCCCGCACACACCCAGGCGGTCAGGCAGGTTCAAAAGGTGAAATAAATGAATCTTTACACGCGAGAAGGGCCCAGGCAGCATTCTCTGTGGCATCAGGGCCTGGCATGGCAGCGAGCGGAAGTAGGTGTCAGCTCGCCACACCGCCGATCCCGCCATGCCAGGGTCTGCTTCATTTCAAACAGCCTGCTAGAAAAAAAAGGAGGGGAAAGCCGGAGCAGAAATAATTGCTGGAGCTTCCAGTGAGCCGAGAGAGCCTGCAGGCAGAGATCAACGCGCCTGATTTCATCCTCTTCCTTTTATTTCTATAACCTTAAACGTTCTGCTATTATAAAAGTCATCATGTCAGCTCTCCCAGCCTCTCCGGCTGCCCATTTTCAAATCGTATCAATTGGTGAGGCTTTTGGGCTGAAGGATTTTCATCTTGATTTATGGTTTCTGTGCTTTAAAGATGAAGCCTGCGCCGCTGGCCTGATGGCAGCGTGGAAGCACAACTAGCTCCTCCCGGCACCGCGTGCAAACTGGGGAAGCCTTGGTGTGTCTCTTGTTCTCTTTCTTTTCTTAAAAAAGTAGATATTAAGCAAATTGCAAAAAGTTATAATAATAATAAAGAAAATTGCGAGACAGTGAAACAAGAGCATTTGTCATGAATCTGCAGCTAAGCATGGCGAGGGGGTGTCTCACGCCCTGCAGCCCGTGGGGACCAGGCAGCGGGCTCTCTGCTCTTGAGGATGCTGCTGACCACTGCCTTCAAAACCAGGGGGGCGAAGAGATAGGAGGCGTGTGGGCAGAGTAGGAGGAGCCCCCTCAAGTGTCACTTTCTACGTAAAGATGAGGGGGCTGAGAAGCCAGGGCAGCAGAGATGGTGAAGCTGTAAGTAAATAGAAAAACACACATGTGGGGCCTCCCTGGTGGCACAAGGGGTTAAGTCTCTGCACTATGAAGCTATGAGCAGACACCACAGCATGAGTTCGATCCCCGGCCAGGGAGCTGACCCACATGGCTCAGCAGACCTCTCCTGTCTCCCTGCTGCTCCCCTCAGCAGTGTATTTCAGGAGATCCAACTTTTCTGCTCCCGGCTCTGTCTCTGGTGAGTCCTCTCACCCTCCACACCTCTGGCCTGCACCCCAGTTCTTATATGCATAAATAAATAAATCTTAATAAAAAAAGAAATTCACGCACATGAAGTGCTTATTTCAGCAAGTGCCCAGGCTGGCAGGAGAACGCACACGTCGCTTTCTGAGTATGTATGGGAGTGTGGGGGACACGGTTTATTAAAATGGGGGCGCTGCAGAACAGGGAGCAACTCCTACTGCCCTCTTCACGCATTGCCCATGGGGAACTCTGGAATAAACGACCTACTGGCTTTGTCATGCCTGCCCCACCATCACCCGCACCTGCAGCAGGGCAGCAGGTCCCCACGAAGGGAGACAGGAGGAGAGGTGACACCTGACAGAGAAGGAGGGCGGGCCCTCCTGATCTCAGCCTCGTGGAGTTGGTGTGGGGCTGCGGTGGCAGGGGCAAGGCAGTGGGCATGAGGAAGCCCCCTTGGCGGGCACTGTCGGGTCAAATTCAGGGGCCAGGCAGGAGCCTGTGGCCAAGCACACACATCAATTCATCAGACACTTGCATCAGGAATTTATCACGAGGCCTCCTGGGATGGATGAGCCAAAGACAAATGAAGCCCCATCGACGCATTTCCCCGGAAACCCTGACAGAGCTTCCCCGTAGCCCTGTTCCTGATTCTTCTGAATTAATCTAAATCTGGGGCGGACGATGAGCTTCAGAAATCCCACTTTCCTGAGACTGAAGCGTCTGATAACTAAGACTGAAAAGAGAGGTTGTCCAGGCAAAGGCCGGGACAGAAATAAACCTCAGTGCTGAGGGAGCGAGAAAGCGAGGGGGCGATGGGGGTGGAGGGAGAGACAGAGAGGGAGGGAGGGAGTGAGAGAGATGCTAATTGTGCCAGGAACTTTGACAGGCTTGACAGAAAGTGTCTTCATTGAGAAATCGCGATCTGAAGTTCCCTTGTTCCTTCAGAAACAGGAGGAGCCGAGGCATGAGGGAGCCTGACAGGAAGTGAGGATTCGAGACTTCAAATACAAACATTATGAAAAACAAGCAACATCTGCAAACAGTAAGTACTTATTTATATTTTATGGAGTGTGTGCTTGGGATTCTGACAGGTTTTTAAACAGAGACCATATTAGGCCCATTCAAAGGCGAGAATGTCCCTTTTAAAAATGCATTACCCCGCTGCTCCGGCAGGCCGGCCGGCTGGCCTCAGGTGAGCCCTGACCCCTCCCGACCTGGCCTAACAAAACCCACATGTGGCCTCCAATGGCACCATTTATGGCTCCTCTCTCAAGGCTGCGCGGGCGGGCGCTGGAGGGTTAGTATTCAGCGAGCTTCTCCCTCAGCTGACAGCGCCGCTTTGAACTTTTCCCTTTTGAACAAATAGGAAGGGAAACCGCAAGGAAACAAGTGCTGGGAATCAGAGAAAAGAGCACGCCACAGATAAATAAATAAGCCGCAAATAAATAAATAAATGGCCAGCTCTGTCCCCAACTCCTCGCTTCCCGGAGCTGCCATGAATTTGGCGCACTTGAGCAACTTAAAAATAAAACAATACAATAAGCCGGCGATCCTGCCCGCCCCCCCCCCCCCGCCCCGGCCCCCTCCCAAGGATGAGCCCTTTATTTTTGACAACAAATAAGAGGCGGTTGGCAGGTACGGTGTGCTGTGCGCCATGAAAAATTTAGTAAGGCAATAACGACTCCCCGGACAGCTTAAGAAAACCACGATTATATTCAGGGAGAAAGCCACGAACAAACAGAGGGGGGGAAATACAAAGAAAGATAAAGGAAGGCCTTTCATCAGGACTTCCTGTCCAATAATGCAGCCAGGCTTGATCCATATGTTTTGAGAAAATCAAAGTGCCACAACTATCCAAAATGTCAATAGCTCCGGTAAGGAATATTGTCTAACATTTTCTATTACACCCTTCAAGAATTTGCCTCCCAGCGCAATTTGGAAGAAAAACCTCTTTTATTTCGAAAACACTCAAAGAAAAGAAAGGAAGGGGGAGAGGGAAGAAAGCAGAACAGGGGGAGTTGCAGGGCGGTGTGTAACACAATCACGCCCTGGGCTCCCCAGCCATCCTGAAAGCCGATCCCCTGATGAAAGCGAGTTCTCCTCCACACCTCTCGGAGGTTCTGTCCTTTCTTTGCAGACACTTGCAAAGGCGCTTCCTGGACAGTTGGATGTACCTGAGCCATCTCTGCAGCGAGAAACAGGAGCAGCTCAACTTCCAGCGGCTCTCCTATTTGGATAATCCTGCGTAATGATTTCAGGGCTGGTTCTGGAAAGTTCCACCAGCTCCTCTGCATGCCAGGCGGGCGCCTGGAGTGCTGGGTGACTGACTTTGGGGTGTGGGGCGGGAGAAGACCCCAGTATGTAAACAAACAATGTATTGCTGCCTTGGCAAAAATGTAAACAAAATCCATGTCCCCTGCCCTGGGGCTGGGCCGGCGGGATGCCGTTTGACAGAACTTGCTGCACGGAGTCTCCCGGGCTGGCCAACTAGACATCCTGGAAACTCTAGAGGGAAAAATCACGCCCGAGTGGCTGCTGTCTGGTAGAATCTGAAGCAGAATGAAACAGGCCTCCAACAATCAATATTACTGACAAATTAATCTCTGCGAATAAACTGGAGCTCGCTTTGAGGCTGTCCCCGTCCCCAAAGTCATCGTTTCAATGAGCTGAGGCCTTGGTGCCAGCCCTGGGGTGCTTCCCGGTCGTCACCTGTGGGTGGCTCTCGAGGGTCCCCAGGGACGCGGTTTCATAAAGTGAAATCATACCGAAGACCTGACCTTACTCCTTTAACTCCCTGCTCTGGCTTTGCCTCCACTCCCTGCCAGAGGCTGAGAGAACGCCCTTGACCTCTTTTGAGGGAGGGCTGGGGCAGGTAAGGGGGTGGCCAGTCCTGCCCAAACTCTGAGCTGATCAGAAACATTTGGAAGCACCAGGTAAGCAAGGTACACGATGCCCAGGGCTCAAGATGCCAGGTTATTTTTTTGTAAGGAACAAAAAGGGCACAAAAACTCCTGGCACCTCCCCGAGATTCCCAAAATTGTATGTTTGGGGGGCTCCTGGCCAGAGCTAAAATTCACCCAGTCTGCACAAGTATTCCCCATCGGGACATTGTTGATAAATATTCCCCCCCACCCAGCCCTCTGCTGCCCACTCCCGGCACCCCACCCTTCCCATCCTGGTCCTGTCTCCCTTGCCTTAACTCGGAACCTAAAGGGTTAACGTCTGGCCAAGCAGAGGACCTTCAGGGTGTCCCCTGCCCCTGGTGACTGGCTGGGGCCATCGCCCACTGTCGTGAGCTATTTTGGTATCACTCTAGCTGGGCTCCAGCACGTTCATTGCCAAGTCCGAGGTCAGCTGGCCCAGCCTTGGTGCGTTCTCACGCACAGCCCCTCTGAGGACTGCAGGACGCTAGAAAGACAGGGGCTCTCCAGGCTCTCCGGAGGTGCCCCCTCCCTGGCACCGGGGTTCTGACTGCCCTGGGATGGCAGGCCCGGCTGGACGCTGGGGAAGTCAGAGCAAAAGCGGCGAAGCTCCACCGCCTCTTCCTCAGCCCCCACCGGTAAACAGCAGCAGAAATCAACAGTCACCAGGGTGTAATTGTCATTAGTATGTAAATTTTAAAAGCTCAGTCAAAAATATCAATACCTCCCACTTAATTTATTACTATATAAAGATGGATGGCAGCGAAGCGGGCATTGATTTTCAGAGCCCTTTAAAAAAACACTGCAAGGCAGAGAGCCGTCAAAGACAACTTAACACAAAATGCTGGGGTCCCCAAATGAATCACTGTGATTTTTTTTTTAAACACACATGCACACTCACAAAAACACCCGAGCAACGGCCTGCGCAGGTCAATGTGGTTTGATTGCCTTTTCTGAAAACCGAGAAATGAAAGAGGCCATTTACGTAAAGAGCCCTCTCAGAATGGATTAGCCGTGGAGACGGGATCGCGTCCTGACTCTATCGACAGCAAACCATTAGGCAGGCGCACTCCAGCCCGGTCACTGGGGGAAATCGAAGACAATGGCTCCCTGGCTGGTCTGGCAGCGCAGCCCCCAGCTCTGGCCCGGTCCTGCTGTCTCCCAGAATCCTCTCCCCCCACCCCCGGGGTTAGCACGCTGCTCCCCGCCCCTCCCAATAGTCATGCCCACTCAACAAATAAGCAGATTCATCATGGTGTTGAAGATGGTCCCAGAGCGCCGGACCCCGGGGAGCATGTGTGTCTGCAGCGACACGGACCTGGGGGCAGCTCGGCCCCCGTGCAGTTCAAAGATGGGTCACTTCTCCGCCTTGACATTCGGAGACGTTTGCCTGGATCCAGGGGGGGAGCGGAGGGTGGAGAGAAAAGATGGTGAGGGAGCAAGAAGAAGAAGAAAACAGCTGGGCAGCGTCTGCATGGGCACACCCCGCCCCTCATGGGTCGTTCCCCTGGAAGTGGGGCTCAGTATCTTTGCAGAGACTCCTGGTTAGACAGGGGAAGCTTTGCTGTAGCTCAGACAGGGGTTACCTCTGCCTACGTCTCCCGGTGTGCTGAGATCCCCAGAAGAATAGCAAGGCCAGTGTTTTCAAGTCGTAAGATAAGGATGTGATCTCCCTCCTATTTCTAAAGTCCATCTCCACTCTTCTCAGCAGCCCCTGTGATCTATGGATTATTGTCTTGGTTTTTTATGGCATCTGGGGAAAGTTATTTTTTACAGAGATGTTCCACCAATAATCACACTACAAGCCAAGAGCAGCGCTCACATTCATCAGACTAGAACCGTACACCTATTTCCAGGAGCATTTTGTCCGGAGAGCCTGGATCTCCAGGAAGGGCTGCTCGGTGGGGTGGGGGTGATCTGGCTGATGTTTCCCATTTCTCAGGATGCTTCGACTTTATTCAGAAGCAGCCTTGTTCTCTTCCCCGCTTTGCTTATGAAGGGAGCTGCGGTTCAAAATGAACACCAAGTGGCTAGCTGTCTTCCTGCTGTAATTGGATTTAATTCATTATCTTTCATTTCAATAAAATCACAGGAAAACACAGGGATGTAAATGTGTAGGCTAATTGCTTATGGAAATTCAGGTGTCGTGCTCGGTATAAATTTACCCCTTGCATGAGGAAGACACAGTTGTGTCATTATCGTGGAATTTTACAACAATATGTAATTATAGAGGGAAGCAGGTATAATTAGCAGGTCTTTCCACAAAGCAGGTAGCATTCTTGGTTAAATATTTGCAGCTGTGCAAACAGCCCGTCATCATGAGAGTTTTCTCAGCCACATGTTTAGAGCATCCAACAAATTCTAGGAAAGATGGTCGCGATCAGCCCTGCGTGCTGCTTTGCCTTCCTTTGCAAGAAATGCTCTTGCATGCTTTGCGGCAGGGCCGGGCTGAGTCGGCGTGCAGTTTCAGATGTGATAAAAACAAGGAACTGAGGTGTCTTCTCCCCTTGATACTGCAGCGAGGAGCAAATGAAAGCATTGCATTGAATTTTCCCTCTCCTTTCTCTTGTTGTTCCCTTTGCTGTCCAAAGGAAACCCACAGCAAACTGCAAGATGCTGGAAGCTGCAGGCTCGCCAACTCCAAAGAGCCCAAGGGTTAGCACAACCTGCAGCTGTTGCACTAAATAAAATCATCACAGCCCACCCTGGGCAAAAACCCTCTGTGGCTCTTTATTACCAAACGATCTGAACTTTGACCCAAGCGGAACCAAATTTAATATTTTCTCCCAAATATTTAAAAAATTCATTCTGGGGCTCGAGACGAGCCAGGGAGTCTGCGAGCCGTAATTTGACATCTGAATTATGCTGAGGCTAAAACGGAAAGCTATTCACAAGCTTATTTGGAGATATGTCAATCAAGATATCACTTGTGCAAGGAAGATGGACTCGGGCTTAGGATGGCAGAGAGCTTTCAGGGGACCACAAAATAAAGGGAAGGCAAGCTCGGATGAATATGTTATGTCTTCATTCTCGAGGATGGCTTTTCTTTTTTTTTTTTTTCCCCCTGGACAGCGAATACAGACGTAGGACAGCCACGTCCCAGGGAGGTGTCTTTTTTCACACCTGTAAAAACATCTTAACGTTTATCAAAAATGATAACCATAAATAACAAACATGGTGTTGGAACGCGCCTCTGTTAATTTCAATGCGCTGATTAAGATTTTAAGCAACGCTTCTAAATTGGACTGTCAGGCCATGGTCCTCCACGCGGGGTGGAGGTTCGATCTCACACTGGTCTGTCTGAGTGAGCAGCCTTTCTGGGTCGATTGCGAGCCAGGCTAGCAACAGCCAATGCTCTTCCATTCATTTTCCACGAGATGGGGGTGATTCAATTAGCCCTGATTGTCCGTGAGATGTGGCCCCAAATAAAACTGATCGCCTCCTCCCGAGGTATTTCCCTGTCGACAAGGAACAGTGTTAATTACCCATTGTTATGATCTGAAAGACACCAGAATTTTAATTATGTAAATTCGGAGCCATTTTGTTCATGGGAACGAAAAATAAGCAGCCGGTGTTTTCCTTTCCGCGAACATTAATCCCTGTTTGGAATCTCTACCAACTTAACAGCAGAGTGTGTGATGTGTCAGGCAAGAATCGACCCCCTGCGTGCCTGAGCCACCTGGGGATGCTTCCTTCTCAAGAGACAAGGAAGAGGACGTGGTCTTTGACATGCTGTTTCTCAGGCTCTCATTCCTGGGAGGCTCTGACAGCCGGTCTGCTTGGCCACGTCGGCTAACGTGGAAGGTTCTATAATGGAGAACCTTGCAGGGGGCAGACCCCTCCTACTTCAATACGGGTGAACAGAACTGATGTCAAGCACTTTCTGTCAGTCCCCAAAATAAATTGGAAACGTTTTCTGCTAACTACCCAAACTCTAGAAAATTCTGCCAGCTGAAAAATCAAATCAAATTCTCCTTGGAGTCATGGAGAACTCAGGAATCTCCCACTTCCCAGGAGAAGTCTTTTCTCCAGATTCATGCTCTCCCGTGGGCTGTTTGCCTCCACCCTTCCCTCATCCCCTGTATCATCAGGGATTTGCTAAGTGTCCCGTGGGTAACTGGTACCCAAGGAGAGGCCAGGGGTGTTTTGGGGGCATCAACTTGGACTTGATCTCAAGCAATCTCAGCTCGAAGACAATATAAAATTTTATTTCGATATTCAAATAAACAGTGGTGTGCTATAGACTAGAGTTTAAATAATTCACACTTTTGAAGACGAAACAGAAGAACAGGAAGAAAATATTTCCTTGCATTTTCCTAACTCTTGCCCCAAATCCTGGAAGACTGAGTTAAGTTTATTCCCCTTTGCTGGGCATTATCAGGGTAAGAGTTTAAAAAGGTCAGGCGTTCCCTGGTCCTCAAAGAGTTTCCAGTGTGGCGCCTCCTTTCCTGAGTCCTACTCTGACTTTTTTCTTAATGAGCCAAAGACCTGCCAATGGGGTCACATTTAATGCAAAGAACCAGATGAGGGGAAAGAGAAAGCTGGGGCAGGGACAGTAGAGGAAACAGTGGGGAGAGACTGTGCTTCACGAGTATTGCGAGATTACCTCAACGACCCAGAAAACAACGAACCAGACTTTATCTCCAAGGCAGGGAGCAGCCAGAGGTGTCCCCCCAAACCAGTCCTGTTTTCAGTAGGATTTCA